GAGCGGCAGTTGTTGCTGGAGGGAGGGATCCCCAGGTGATGACACATGCAGGAGACAAGATGGAACTGTCCCCTGACCCCCTCTCTCTTCACTCTGGCCCAGAGCGGCAGTTGTTGCTGGAGGGAGGGATCCCCAGGTGATGACACATGCAGGAGACAAGATGGAACTGTCCCCTGACCCCCTCTCTCTTCACTCTGGCCCAGAGCGGCAGTTGTTGCTGGAGGGAGGGATCCCCAGGTGATGACACATGCAGGAGACAAGATGGAACTGTCCCCTGACCCCCTCTCTCTTCACTCTGGCCCAGAGCGGCAGTTGTTGCTGGAGGGAGGGATCCCCAGGTGATGACATGCAGGAGACAAGATGGAACTGTCCCCTGACCCCCTCTCTCTTCACTCTGGCCCAGAGCGGCAGTTGTTGCTGGAGGGAGGGATCCCCAGGTGATGACACATGCAGGAGACAAGATGGAACTGTCCCCTGACCCCCTCTCTCTTCACTCTGGCCCAGAGCGGCAGTTGTTGCTGGAGGGAGGGATCCCCAGGTGATGACATGCAGGAGACAAGATGGAACTGTCCCCTGACCCCCTCTCTCTTCACTCTGGCCCAGAGCGGCAGTTGTTGCTGGAGGGAGGGATCCCCAGGTGATGACACATGCAGGAGACAAGTTGGAACTGTCCCCTGACCCCCTCTCTCTTCACTCTGGCCCAGAGCGGCAGTTGTTGCTGGAGGGAGGGATCCCCAGGTGATGACACATGCAGGAGACAAGATGGAACTGTCCCCTGACCCCCTCTCTCTTCACTCTGGCCCAGAGCGGCAGTTGTTGCTGGAGGGAGGGATCCCCAGGTGATGACACATGCAGGAGACAAGATGGAACTGTCCCCTGACCCCCTCTCTCTTCACTCTGGCCCAGAGCGGCAGTTGTTGCTGGAGGGAGGGATCCCCAGGTGATGACACATGCAGGAGACAAGATGGAACTGTCCCCTGACCCCCTCTCTCTTCACTCTGGCCCAGAGCGGCAGTTGTTGCTGGAGGGAGGGATCCCCAGGTGATGACACATGCAGGAGACAAGATGGAACTGTCCCCTGACCCCCTCTCTCTTCACTCTGGCCCAGAGCGGCAGTTGTTGCTGGAGGGAGGGATCCCCAGGTGATGACACATGCAGGAGACAAGATGGAACTGTCCCCTGACCCCCTCTCTCTTCACTCTGGCCCAGAGCGGCAGTTGTTGCTGGAGGGAGGGATCCCCAGGTGATGACACATGCAGGAGACAAGATGGAACTGTCCCCTGACCCCCTCTCTCTTCACTCTGGCCCAGAGCGGCAGTTGTTGCTGGAGGGAGGGATCCCCAGGTGATGACACATGCAGGAGACAAGATGGAACTGTCCCCTGACCCCCTCTCTCTTCACTCTGGCCCAGAGCGGCAGTTGTTGCTGGAGGGAGGGATCCCCAGGTGATGACACATGCAGGAGACAAGATGGAACTGTCCCCTGACCCCCTCTCTCTTCACTCTGGCCCAGAGCGGCAGTTGTTGCTGGAGGGAGGGATCCCCAGGTGATGACATGCAGGAGACAAGATGGAACTGTCCCCTGACCCCCTCTCTCTTCACTCTGGCCCAGAGCGGCAGTTGTTGCTGGAGGGAGGGATCCCCAGGTGATGACACATGCAGGAGACAAGTTGGAACTGTCCCCTGACCCCCTCTCTCTTCACTCTGGCCCAGAGCGGCAGTTGTTGCTGGAGGGAGGGATCCCCAGGTGATGACACATGCAGGAGACAAGATGGAACTGTCCCCTGACCCCCTCTCTCTTCACTCTGGCCCAGAGCGGCAGTTGTTGCTGGAGGGAGGGATCCCCAGGTGATGACACATGCAGGAGACAAGATGGAACTGTCCCCTGACCCCCTCTCTCTTCACTCTGGCCCAGAGCGGCAGTTGTTGCTGGAGGGAGGGATCCCCAGGTGATGACACATGCAGGAGACAAGATGGAACTGTCCCCTGACCCCCTCTCTCTTCACTCTGGCCCAGAGCGGCAGTTGTTGCTGGAGGGAGGGATCCCCAGGTGATGACACATGCAGGAGACAAGATGGAACTGTCCCCTGACCCCCTCTCTCTTCACTCTGGCCCAGAGCGGCAGTTGTTGCTGGAGGGAGGGATCCCCAGGTGATGACATGCAGGAGACAAGATGGAACTGTCCCCTGACCCCCTCTCTCTTCACTCTGGCCCAGAGCGGCAGTTGTTGCTGGAGGGAGGGATCCCCAGGTGATGACACATGCAGGAGACAAGACGGAACTGTCCCCTGACCCCCTCTCTCTTCACTCTGGCCCAGAGCGGCAGTTGTTGCTGGAGGGAGGGATCCCCAGGTGATGACACATGCAGGAGACAAGTTGGAACTGTCCCCTGACCCCCTCTCTCTTCACTCTGGCCCAGAGCGGCAGTTGTTGCTGGAGGGAGGGATCCCCAGGTGATGACACATGCAGGAGACAAGATGGAACTGTCCCCTGGCCCCCTCTCTCTTCACTCTGGCCCAGAGCGGCAGTTGTTGCTGGAGGGAGGGATCCCCAGGTGATGACACATGCAGGAGACAAGATGGAACTGTCCCCTGACCCCCTCTCTCTTCACTCTGGCCCAGAGCGGCAGTTGTTGCTGGAGGGAGGGATCCCCAGGTGATGACACATGCAGGAGACAAGATGGAACTGTCCCCTGACCCCCTCTCTCTTCACTCTGGCCCAGAGCGGCAGTTGTTGCTGGAGGGAGGGATCCCCAGGTGATGACACATGCAGGAGACAAGATGGAACTGTCCCCTGACCCCCTCTCTCTTCACTCTGGCCCAGAGCGGCAGTTGTTGCTGGAGGGAGGGATCCCCAGGTGATGACACATGCAGGAGACAAGACGGAACTGTCCCCTGACCCCCTCTCTCTTCACTCTGGCCCAGAGCGGCAGTTGTTGCTGGAGGGAGGGATCCCCAGGTGATGACACATGCAGGAGACAAGATGGAACTGTCCCCTGACCCCCTCTCTCTTCACTCTGGCCCAGAGCGGCAGTTGTTGCTGGAGGGAGGGATCCCCAGGTGATGACACATGCAGGAGACAAGACGGAACTGTCCCCTGACCCCCTCTCTCTTCACTCTGGCCCAGAGCGGCAGTTGTTGCTGGAGGGAGGGATCCCCAGGTGATGACACATGCAGGAGACAAGATGGAACTGTCCCCTGACCCCCTCTCTCTTCACTCTGGCCCAGAGCGGCAGTTGTTGCTGGAGGGAGGGATCCCCAGGTGATGACACATGCAGGAGACAAGATGGAACTGTCCCCTGACCCCCTCTCTCTTCACTCTGGCCCAGAGCGGCAGTTGTTGCTGGAGGGAGGGATCCCCAGGTGATGACACATGCAGGAGACAAGATGGAACTGTCCCCTGGTCCCCTCTCTCTTCACTCTGGCCCAGAGCGGCAGTTGTTGCTGGGGGGAGGGATCCCCAATTGATGACATATGCAGGAGACAAGATGGAACTGTCCCCTGACCCCCTCTCTCTTCACTCTGGCCCAGAGCGGCAGTTGTTGCTGGAGGGAGGGATCCCCAGGTGATGACACATGCAGGAGACAAGACGGAACTGTCCCCTGACCCCCTCTCTCTTCACTCTGGCCCAGAGCGGCAGTTGGTGCAGGGGGGGAGGGATCCCCAGGTGATGACACATGCAGGAGACAAGACGGAACTGTCCCCTGACCCCCTCTCTCTTCACTCTGGCCCAGAGCGGCAGTTGTTGCTGGAGGGAGGGATCCCCAGGTGATGACACATGCAGGAGACAAGATGGAACTGTCCCCTGACCCCCTCTCTCTTCACTCTGGCCCAGAGCGGCAGTTGTTGCTGGAGGGAGGGATCCCCAGGTGATGACACATGCAGGAGACAAGATGGAACTGTCCCCTGACCCCCTCTCTCTTCACTCTGGCCCAGAGCGGCAGTTGTTGCTGGAGGGAGGGATCCCCAGGTGATGACACATGCAGGAGACAAGATGGAACTGTCCCCTGGTCCCCTCTCTCTTCACTCTGACCCAGGGCGGCAGTTGTTGCTGGAGGGAGGGATCCCCAGGTGATGACACATGCAGGAGACAAGATGGAACTGTCCCCTGCCCCCTCTCTCTTCACTCTGGCCCAGAGCGGCAGTTGTTGCTGGAGGGAGGGATCCCCAGGTGATGACACATGCAGGAGACAAGATGGAACTGTCCCCTGGTCCCCTCTCTCTTCACTCTGACCCAGGGCGGCAGTTGTTGCTGGAGGGAGGGATCCCCAGGTGATGACACATGCAGGAGACAAGATGGAACTGTCCCCTGGTCCCCTCTCTCTTCACTCTGACCCAGGGCGGCAGTTGGTGCAGGAGGGAGGGATCCCCAGGTGATGACACATGCAGGAGACAAGACGGAACTGTCCCCTGACCCCCTCTCTCTTCACTCTGGCCCAGAGCGGCAGTTGTTGCTGGAGGGAGGGATCCCCAGGTGATGACACATGCAGGAGACAAGATGGAACTGTCCCCTGACCCCCTCTCTCTTCACTCTGGCCCAGAGCGGCAGTTGTTGCTGGAGGGAGGGATCCCCAGGTGATGACACATGCAGGAGACAAGATGGAACTGTCCCCTGACCCCCTCTCTCTTCACTCTGGCCCAGAGCGGCAGTTGTTGCTGGAGGGAGGGATCCCCAGGTGATGACACATGCAGGAGACAAGATGGAACTGTCCCCTGGTCCCCTCTCTCTTCACTCTGACCCAGGGCGGCAGTTGTTGCTGGAGGGAGGGATCCCCAGGTGATGACACATGCAGGAGACAAGATGGAACTGTCCCCTGGTCCCCTCTCTCTTCACTCTGACCCAGGGCGGCAGTTGGTGCAGGGGGAGAGGGATCCCCAGGTGATGACACATGCAGGAGACAAGACGGAACTGTCCCCTGGCCGTCCTTTAGAGACATGTAGAAGCTTGTTTTGCTTTTGGTGCCTTATTTCATTCTCACACCATCTTTTCTCTGTCTTCACAGCTTGATGTTCTTGGGAAGCTTTATTTATCCCCTTTAGGAGAGGTAAGCCGGTTCTTTATTTAATCTCTCTCTCTCGAGTGGGAACGAAACATCCTCTTGATAAAAAACCCCAAGAGTAAGAACCCCATGTTCTTCCTCTGGCGGTTCAGTCTGTCCACAGTCCTCTCCCTTCTCTTGGATTTCAGTGGGGCAACGTCCCTTTCCGGAGGATTTGCAAGCGGTTCGGAGCAGACATCACCTGCAGCAGTCTTCCTCAAAAGGTGTTCAGGTGGAACCTGGCGACAATGAGAGAATCCTTCCACCGCCATGAATCAGAAGACTTTTTTGGCCTCCAGGTAGCTCTAGAACCTGAGCCTTGTTACTCCCCCACTTAGTCCCTTTCAAAATGGTGACAGGAAGCGGCATCCCATCGCCTTTCTTCTTCTGGTTTGAGAGAAGAGGAAGTCAAAACTATTTGATATCTTGTCGAAGGCTTTCATGGCCGGAATCACTGGGTTGTTGTATGTTTTTCCGGGCTATATATATGGCCATGTTCTAGAGCAGTGGTTCTCAACCTTCCTAATGCCACGACCCCTTAATACGCTTCCTCATGTTATGGTGACCCCCCCAACCATAAAATTAATTTCGTTGCTACTTCATAACTCATTTTGCTGCTGTTTTGAATAGTAACAGATTGGGGGAGGGTATTGGTTTTGTCAATTGGGAGTTGTAGTTGCGGGGATTTATAGTTCGCCTACAATCAAGAGCATTCTGAACTGCACCAATGATGGAATTGAATCAAACTTGGCCCACAGAATTCCCATGGCCATCAGAAAATACTGTAAGAGTTTGGTGGGCATTGACCTTGAGTTTTGGGAGTTGTAGTTCACCTACATCCAGAGGGAACTGTAGACTCAAACAATGATGGATCTGGACCAACCTTGGCACGAATTCTCAGTATGCCCAAATGTAAACACTAGTAGAATTTGGGGGAAATAGACCTTGACATTTGGGAGTTGTAGTCACTGGGATTTATAGTTCACCTACAATCAAAGAGCATTCTGAACTCCACCAACGATGGAATTGAATCAAACTTGGCACACAGAATTCCCACGACCAACAGAAAATACTGGAAGGGTTTGGTGGGCATTGACCTTGAGTTTGGGAGTTATAGTTCATGTATATCCAGAGGAGGGCTATGGATTCATGCAATGATGGATCTGGACCAAACTTGGCACAAATACTCAATATGCCCAAATGTGAACACTGGTGGAGTCTGGGGAAAATAGACCTTGACGTTTGGGAGTTCTAGTTGTTGGGATTTATAGTTCACCTACAATCAAAGAGCATTCTGAACTCCACCAACGATGGAATTGAATCAAACTTCTCACACAGAACCTCCATGACCAACAGAAAATACTGTGTTTTCTGGTGGTCTTTGGAGACCCCTCTGACACCCCCGCGTGACCCCTCCAGGGGCCCCGACCCCCAGGTTGAGAAGATCCAGGTTTTAAGGTCCTTTTTAAAGGTTTATAGGGTAGGGGCTTTCCTAATCTCTCCAGGTAATGAGTTCCAGATGGAGGAAGGCAAAACTATTTGAGGTTACTTGGGATTCTGGGATATGTGTGGGGGTGGGATAGGGGATACTTTTCACGTTGGGTTTTTTTCTAGCTCTGGGCAGCCGATCCAGAGCTCGTTCCTGTCTTTGGTTGTAAACCTGGCTCTGTTGAAGGGAAGTAGGACGATGATTCCTTAGCACTGCCTTTTCAGACAGGATTGTTTTTTGGGGTTGCATGATTTGCTTGTGTGGGCTGGTTGTTCTATGAGTTTCCCTCTCTTGGCCCTGCAGTTAGGAGTATCATCAGCTCCACACCGCATGATCAAATGCTCAGAATACTTCAATGACCGGATCCAAGTGGATTTCTTGGAGATTAACGATGGAGATCTGCACACGGTATGGCAAGGATGTGTCTCTGTCGCTCTTTGGGGGGATGCCCAATGGTTTGTTTTCTTCCCTTGTGTGAAGGTAGAAAACTGCAACTCAAGAAAGGGGAATGTGGCAGAATTGACCCCTTAGGACAGCGGTTCTCAACCTTCCTGATGCCACGACCCCTTAATACCGTTCCTCATGTTGTGGTTATTTATCGTGTCATCAGCAACCATACCACTGTATTACATTTCTAACAGAACAAAACAAACAAACAAACAAACAGATAAAAAAACACAATTTTGCAAACTTGGTAGTTGATTAGATGTCCTTTGACCAGTATCTGGCCCCTTGGAGTGCCTCTGGTGTTGCTGCAAGAAGGTCCTCCATTGTGGATGTGGCAGGGCTCAGGTTGCATTGCAGCAGGTGGTCAGTGGTTTGCTCTTCTCCACACTCGCATGTTGAGGATTCCACTTTGTGGCCCCATTTCTGAAGGTTGGCTCTGCATCTCGTGGTGCCAGAGCGCAGTCTGTTCAGTGCCTTCCAAGTCGCCCAGTCTTCTGTGTGCCCAGGGGGGAGTCTCTCATTGGGTATCAGCCATTGGTTGAGGTTCTGTCTTTGAGCCTGCCACTTTTGGACTCTCGCTTGCTGGGGTGTTCCAGCAAGTGTCTCTGTAGATCTTAGAAAGCTATATCTTGATTTAAGTCGTTGACGTGCTGGCTGATACCCAAACAGGGGATGAGCTGGAGATGTCTCTGCCTTGGTCCTTTCACTATTGGCTGCTACTTCCCGGCGGATGTCAGGTGGTGCAATACCGGCTAAGCAGTGTAATTTCTCCAGTGGTGTAGGGTGCAGACACCCGGTGATAATGCGGCATGTCTCATTAAGAGCCACATCCACTGTTTTAGCGTGGTGAGATGTGTTCCACACTGGCAGTTACAGCTAGTATTATATGTATATACAATATATTATATTATATTATATTATATTATATTATTAGTAAAGCACAGGAGACAAGATGGAAGTGTCTTCAACTGTACCCGCCTCTCTCTTCACTATATGTCTATATTGTTGATTCTCCTGGATGTTTATGGCAGTGAATCAACATGATGGATATTGAATAGTCTTTTGGGTGGGCAACCGTTTAATAACAGGCAGATTATTCAATTTGGTGACCTCATCGGGGTAGTTTTTTGTTTTGGCAAGATTTGTTGGATAGTAGGAAGAAGGCGGTCTTTTCCATGTGTCTCTCCTTTTTTTTTCCAGGGCAGAGGATGTGACTTAATGTTGGATCCCATCAAATTTGAACAGATTGTCCGTGGCATGGACTACGTACGTTGGGCAGCTGGGCAGAGGACTCTCCTCTCTTCTATCCTCCTTGGCAGACGGATGTTGTCTGCACTTGTGTCCCCTTCAACCAGGGAAAGGGAGAGGGCTCTTTTCTGCTTTTTTGACGCATCAAATTGGTTCCTGGCATGTCACACTGCATTGCGTTTCTCTTGTTGTTAGGTGTCGAATGTTCCTATCACAGTGAAACTGAGGAGCGGCATATCCGCACAGAAGAATCTGGCTCACACCCTCATCCCCAAACTCCATCATTGGGGAGCCGCTATGGTCACGGTAGAGTAGCCCCGCTCTGTCTTTTGTCTCAGGCCTCCTTACATAGAATCATAGAATCAAAGAATCAAAGAGTTGGAAGAGACCTCCTGGGCCAATTGGTTAAGTGGACGAACACAGAGAGTGCTCACTAATGCTTCCTCTTCATCTTGGAAAGAAGTGACAAGTGGAGTGCCGCAGGGTTCCGTCCTGGGCCCGGTCCTGTTCAACATCTTTATTAATGACTTAGATGAAGGGCTAGAAGTCATGATCATCAAGTTTGCAGATGACACCAAATTGGGAGGGATAGCCAATACTCCAGAGGACAGGAGCAGGATTCAAAACGATCTTGACAGATTAGAGAGATGGGCCAAAACTAACAAAATGAAGTTCAACAGTGACAAATGCAAGATACTCCACTTTGGCAGGAAAAACGAAATGCAAAGATACAGAATGGGGGATCACCTGGCTCGAGAGCAGTACGTGTGAAAAAGATCTTGGAGTCCTCGTGGACAACAAGTTAAACATGAGCCAACAATGTGATGTGGCGGCAAAAAAAGCCAATGGGATTTTGGCCTGCATCAATAGGAGCATATGTCTAGATCTAAGGAAGTAATGCTACCCCTCTATTCTGCTTTGGTTAGACCACATCTGGAATATTGTGTCCAATTCTGGGCACCACAATTCAAGAGAGATATTGACAAGCTGGAATGTGTCCAGAGGAGGGCGACTAAAATGATCAAGGGTCTGGAGAACAAGCCCTATGAGGAGCGGCTTAAGGAGCTGGGCATGTTTAGCCTGAAGAAGAGAAGGCTGAGAGGAGATATTATAGCCATGTATAAATATGTGAGAGGAAGCCACAGGGAGGAGGGAGCAAGCTTGTTTTCTGCTTCCTTGGAGACTAGGACGCGGAACAATGGCTTCAAACTACAAGAGAGGAGATTCCATCTGAACATGAGGAAGAACTTCCTGACCGTGAGAGCCGTTCAGCAGTGGAACTCTCTGCCCCGGAGTGTGGTGGAGGCTCCTTCTTTGGAAGCTTTTAAACAGAGGCTGGATGGCCATCTGTCAGGGGTGATTTGAATGCAATATTCCTGCTTCTTGGCAGAAAGGGGTTGGACTGGATGGCCCATGAGATCTCTTCCAACTCTTTGATTCTATGATTCTATGAAATACATGTGGAAATATAGGAATCACAAGAAATTCATATCAGACACCCCCTCCCTATCCCATCCACCAGAGAAATTGATTAAAGTTATGATTTCAGCAAAACATGAGTCCATAGTTCATTCAGGGGAAATTCATAGGTAAAAACAAGTCCTTTGAAGTCCAAAACACTTGGCAGAGAGTCCAAAGTCACAAAAAGGAGTTTAGGGATGTCCACTGAGCCAAAGGATGGGGTCCTGCAGCGCTGACATCGAAGCTAGTCCTTGGTCATGGTATCCTTCTGAGACGACTCTCTGGGATGGGCCTTGGAGGTACGGCTTTGTCGTGGCTCCGGTCCTTCCTGGAGGGTCGATCCCAGATGGTGAAGCTAGGAGACACCTGCTCGGACCCAGTGCCAGTCAGCTTGCGTATGATATTGTTTCTAGCACCCACTTTTTGCTTGATGTCCAGGCAGTAGGGCTGGGCGGTTTCGTTTGTTAATTTCGTAATTCGTTAATAATTCGTATTTAAAGTAGCTTACGATCCGATATTGAACCATTCAGGAGCAACTAAAAATCGAAACGATTTTTTTCAATTCATTTCGTAATTGTTTCGAAATCGTTTCGAAATTGTTTTGAAATCGTTTTGGAATAGTTTCGTTATTATTTCCGTATGTCCGGTGCAAGTTTTATAGTGGTTGTTTGTTTTATCAGTGATAAAAAAATAAATTATCACACCAACAGTCAACAACAGAGGGAGAGGGAAGCTTCAGAAGTTCCCCCTGTCCCATTTGGAGGGTTTTTTAGCGTATTGCGCAATCGCATCCGCCATTAACAAATCAATTCGTTATTGTTTAGAAATTGTTTCGTAATTTCCGAAATTTTGTAAATTTCGAACTTTTTTAAAGGAAAATTTCAGAATTCTTTTAAAAAACGAAACGCTAAAACCCCCTAAAAACTAATCGAGTTTAGAAACAAACTACCAGGCAGTGCTTCTTGTAGGTCAAAGCACGATCCAGAGTGACTCCCAGGTATTTGGGTGCACTGCAATGCTCCAGTGGGATTCCTTCCCAGGTGATCCTCAGAGCTCGGGATGCTTGTCTGTTTTTGAGATGAAAAGCACATGTCTGTGTTTTAGATGGCTTAGGGACAGGGGCGGCTCGTCCATTACGCGAAGTAAGCGGTCGCAGAACACTTTTTTTTGCCAGGGGTGCAGAGGCGCCTCTGTAAATGCCCCTCGACCACCACTTGAGGAGCGCCCCTCAGCTCACAACAGCCCTAGCAGTCCGGGGGGAGCCTCGGCTTTCTTGCCTCGCTGCCAGGCGATCCTCTTCCCAAAGGGGCCGGGCCCTTGAGCTTCGCCTAGCCCCTCTCGTTCCTGCTCCACCCGGCCACCGGGTGCGTGAGCAGAGCCGGCGCTCAATCGTTCTCCGCGTTGGTGCCGAGCAGAGCTGGCGCTCAATCGTTCTCCACGTTCGATCCCTTCCCCATGACTGGCTCCCTTTCCCGATCCCCCGGCGCTCCACCCGCCTCCTCTCCTTTCCCCAATCCGCGGGTGGGCCAAGGGGCGGAGCCGCCGCACCTGGCCCGCTTCAGGTCCGGAGGCATGTCTGAAGACCCCAGCGTGCGCACCAAAAGTCGCCTCTTCTCCTGACTTTCTCTTCAGCCATTGGGACCAAGAGAGAGAGAGAGAGAGAGCCCCTCCGGCTGGAGGTATCTCCCACCTCCGCTCCCTCCTTTGTTTTTGCGCCTACCTTCAGGAAAGGTGGGCATCTCCACCTCTCTCTCTCGGTCTCAATGGCTGAGGAGAAAGTCAGGAGAAGAGGTGACTTTTGGTGCACACGCCGGGGTCTTCAGGCACGCCTCCGGACCCAAAGCGGGCCAGGCAAGGGAGCAAGTGCGGCAAGTGTAGTTACTGGGATGTATAGTTCACCTACAATCAAAGAGCATTCTGAACTTCACCAATGATGGAATTGAACCAAATATGGCACACAGAACTCCCATGACGAACAGAAAATATATATCAATGATTGGTTGGGGGGGGGGGCGCCAAAATACAGTTTGCTTACCGTTGAAAATTGCCTAGGGCCGCCTCTGGTTAGGGATCAGCTGGTTTTCCCTGTAATAGGCAGTAAGGGCACCGAGAGCTTCGGAGAGCTTCTGTTCAACCACCTCAAAGCTCCCTGCTTGAGCGGTAATGGCACGATCATCAGCATAGATGAAACTCTCTGTCCCTTCTGGCAGTAGCTGGTCATTTGTGTAAATGTTGAACACGGATGGAGGAGGCACGCTCCCCTGAGGCAGGCCGTTCTTCTGTTTCCGCCATCTGCTTCTCTGGCCCTGGAACTCAACAAAAAAGCTCCTGTTTTGTAGCAGGTTTCCTCTGAGGCGGGTGAGGTGGTCGTCCTTTGTGATAAAATAATAAATGTAACGATAATAATATTAATAATATAAATAGAGCAAAATAAATGTAGTAGTAATAATAATAATAATAACAACAACAATAACAGAGTAAAATAATAAATAACTTGACTTGAGTATAAGCCGATGGGGACTTTTTCAGCCTAAAAAAGGGGCTGAAAAACTAGGTCTATACTCGAGTATATACAGTAAATGGCCTAAGTTGATACTTCTGGCTCTCTCAGCTTCACGGACGGCCAAAAGAAATCCCAATGAGTGAGCCAGCAGACTGGAACTACATATCACACTGTGCCCAGATTGCCAGACCGATGCCTCTTTTTGGTAAGCCGTGTTTATATTGCCTTTTCTTTGTTCCTGTGCATTGGTTGGGCTGAGGCACGGTCAAGATATGCCCGACTATTTTTCTGCTGAGTCCATCTTTCTTCCCTTTCTTGTGATCCAGGGAATGGAGATATTTTCTCCTTTGAAGATGTCATAAAAGCCAAGGAAACTGGCATTTCGGGGGTCACGATTGCAAGGCAAGTGCTTTTTCCTTTTCTGCAATGGGAATATCCCGACACAGGACAAGTGATTGTTCATAGCCTTTCATATCATGGCGCCATTGTCAATGGAATGGCGACTATCTCAGCGCACACAAGGCACTGAAACACATCTTCTTACACTAAAGCTATTTTATTAAACACAAAACTAAAATAATATTTACACTAGAAGCTAAGCAGAACAAGAAACAAGCGGCTACATGGTTCGTCTTTTCGTTGTAATCTAGAATCAGGCACCTCCTTACATTCCACAGTGACGAGATGACGTACGACGCAACACAGCTTACAACACTTTCCGCACTGAGATTTACGACTCCTCCTTCATGATACAGTTAACCCTTTTTCACACAGGAATTACAATCTCCGGCACATTGCATGTCACAGCATTACATTTCTAAGCACACAAACACTAACTTTAAAATTTTATTTATTTATTTATTTATTTACTGTATTTGTATACCGCCTTTCTCAGCCTATTGGCGACTCAAGGCGGTTTCCAACAAAACAGTATACATAATATCATAGCACAAATTAGACATTAAAGCAACATAAAGCACAACAAGCAATAAAAGCAACATAATCAGCGTCTCCTTATTGTCAAGCATTGTCCAGTTCCATCGTCAAATTGTCAGGTTTCCTATATCAGTTATCTACATATCTGTTACTCTGTATTTGTGATCGCTTGCTCAAATAGCCATGTTTTAAATTGCTTCCGAAATGTTAAGAGGGAGGGAGCAGATCTAATTTCTCTAGGGAGGGCGTTCCTGTTGCAACCCAGAGCAGGAAACTGGACCCTCAGACAGCAATCCACCACGCTTGGCTTCAGGAAAACAATCCTTTTTTATTGATGAAAGATGAATACAAAACAGAGGAAAATATGCAAAGGTAAAAAGCCACAGTAAAAATCAGCGAGGAATGTCCATAAACAAGATCATGAAACCCACAGCTAAACTGCTGAATCCTGGAACCTGTTAGCAAATCATTAACCGTACTTAGGGCAACTAGAAAACCTCCGAGGAACAAGGCTACTTGGATCAGGAGACCTGCAAACGTTGGCACATGAATCTGGAACGATGCCTGGTCTGAAGCTGTATTAAGGGCAGTCATATTCAAGGCCAAGAAATCTATTGCGAGACACGCCTGAAGATTTTGTTTGGATCTCCTTCAATCTGGCTGACCTGCATAAACATTGGGCTTCTCCCTGACTCTGCCAAATCTGCCCCCGCCTATCCTCATTAGGCAGGCCAGGTGCCTGATTCTCTGGAGAGCTAAAACTGGGAGGAAAAGGGAGTGAACCATCTCCTCTTGTCCTGGAATGTATGTTCTCATGGGAATCTTGACTTTCGCTTTCCAAGGCTGTAGGATTTTCAGTACTCAACCTATCATCATCTAAACTAGCCTCAGAATTCACATGGGCATCAGGAAATACATGAGCATCAGAAAATACAATCAGAGAGTCAGGTTCAAGTTCACACACAGGCTGAACCCCAACAGTTCCATAGACGAGGGGCCACCACTGAGAAGGCCCTGTCTCTCGTCCCCGCCAAACATACCTGTGACAAAGGCGGGGCCGAGAGCAATGCCTCCCCGGACTATCTCAAGGTCCTTGATGGTTCATAAGGGGAGATGCATTCGGAAACTACAATACAGTTAATCAAAACACACATATATATTCTCAACAGCCATTCCGTGTTACATTAAATTATTTGTAATTTTTTATGCCTCCCAAGTCTTTGCCTTGGACTCAGCAACATCAGATGGTTGTGCAGTGAGGACTGGGCCTTTTCGGTGTCTGCTCCCATCTTCTGGACCGACATCTCTCTTTATCTGTATTTCTTCTCAGGGCCGCCTTGGTGAAGCCGTGGATCTTCACCGAAATCAAAGAGATGCGGCACTGGGACATCTCCGCTCGGGAACGGCTGGACATGCTCAAAGACTTCACGGCCTATGGTTTGGAGTACTGGGGAACCGACACGAACGGCGTGGAGAAAACCCGGGCCGCCCTCTTGCAATGGCTGTATTACCTCTGCAGGTAACAATGATCTAGAGCTGGAATTTAGGGGTCTTTGCCAGGAGGCAGAGACCAATTAGACTCATCAAAGAGTTCTTTTTCCCTGGTGAGACAGAGAAGCCCCAATATTTTTCCCTGATTTCCCAATGAAAAGTCTCACCAAGTTGAAGAAAAGCCATCGAGGTTTTATTTGCAATTCAGCTGAAAAGGATGCAGAGCTGCAATCATTTGCCAGCAGAGCATGAGGAGAATACATCAATACAGTCATATTTATAGTAAAGTCAAAGTTGCAGAGTTCAAACTTCCCGCCCCACCTCCCTGCCGCCCTCCACCGTGATTGGACAATGGGCAAACAGCTGGGAGGCGGCCCTCCTGACCCCGGTGCCTCTGGACCAATCAGGAAGCTCCAGTGGTCCGTAGGATCCAATGGGGAGACCTCTGCCACTTGGCGGCGACAGCAAATCAGGAGAGAGGGAGGCGGGACGATAGAACACAAAGGAATCTGTGAATGAGTCTTTAAAAAAGGAAATGCCATGTGGCCTGTGAGACAAAAAGCTCAAGCAGGGCTGACCTATTGTGTTTTGAGTGTTGTGAATCAACATGTGTAAAAATATCCAGATCCTTCCTGGCTGTGAGACAGGAGAACAATGAGGGCAGCCTGGGGTTAATGCTATCAATGGGAAGTAAACAAAAAGCAGAGGGGAAGATTTCCCCTTATCTTACTTGAAGAGTGATAGAAACTTTGCCAAACAATTCCTTACTCTAGTGGGCCGTCTCATATGCTAGAGATAATAATCTCCTTCTATTATCTATGCAAATGTGTCTTTAGCTGGAGGTTTTTGTAATCGCTAATGGCTTTTGTCCCCTTACTTATTTCTTTAGGGGGAGAATGGGGCAAAGGGTCAGGCTAGGGTCAGGAACACAAGGAAACATAGAAATCATATAGAGATTATACACGGGGGGGGGGCATGCTCGACTTCAACAACAGCTCTGCAAAACCCCACCAAATTGTATGGAAAACCGGGCCCAGTTTGTTTGAACAGAGCCTTGATTGATATAATTGAACTCCATTCAATCCATTGTAGCAGCAAACCTTAGTGTGGAAAGAATAACATAAAGCAGGCCTCTTCAATTTGCAGCCCTCCAGGCATTCGGGCTTCTGACTCCCAGAACCTTAGCTCAGTGTTTGTGTGTTGGAATTCAACCACATCACACACACACACACAAAGCTAATTTGTGGAAACAGGGTAACTGTCCAGATCAGTAGCTTTCTGGTGAAATAATTACCTCACAAACCAAGTTGGAAAGCTTTAATTCAAAAGCATGCATTAGGGAATGCAACAAAGTTCCAACTGACAGTTTATTTCCCTCGCGCTGCACCCTGTCTCCTCCCCTACATTGCTCCCGTTTCCACGGCAACCCTCTTCCAGATTTCAAATATACACAGGACAGATCTGTCAGAGATTGACGATACCCAGCGGAAGGAATGCTAGATCCAGCAGACACTGAGTTGCAAAATAAGGACTCTGCAGGCTTTGAGTTACAAAAGAAACTAAGTACATACATCAGACACGTCTTTCTACAGCGAGCTACAATTCAGGAAGAAGCAAAGAACTAGTCCAAACCGAAAGCTTCTGCACATCTGCTTATCTTCTCTTGCTGAGACTGGCAACTCCCTTCTGTTCTCAGCAAGAACAAACCTTATTTTACTTTTTCAAGTTCACTTAATCACGGCCTCAAAGTATAAACATTTCTGCATGGCATTTTCAATTCACAGTGGCATCCATTTTTGTAATACATAGAAGCACATTTAAAACACATACATAACTAAATTAATCCTGACAAGATCTAAGGCATGGCCTAATTTCCTGACTTCACACAAAATCAGGAAATAAGGTCAAGATAGTAACAAACAATTTTTTTAAAAATAAAAATAAAATGACATGCCTGATATCTCAGGCTTTGGACTCCATTGTAAAAAAAAAACAAAACAAGCCAACCCCAGTTACACTGATCATATGTTTTACCTGTTTTCCTCCTCTCCTTTCTTTTGGGCAGCTACATTCCCGTTGGGTTACGAGAGCACTTCCCTCCACAATCCGGCGACGAACACCCTTTGTATTTGTCCGGAGACTACTTGGAAGTCTTACTGTCAAGCCAAAAGGTGACGGATATGGTGAAGATCAGGTAAAAAAAAAAAGGGGGGGGGGGAGGTTCCTGGCATCTCCAATTTCCCCTTTTTTGTAACCGAGTTAAGTGTCTTGTGTGGTTTCCAAATAGCCTCCCAGGGCAGCCCCAGAGAGAATGCTGTAGCAGCCAAGCCCAATTTATGGATCCATCATCTTGGCATCATGGGGACTTATGGCAGCCTTCTCTCTGCCATTTCGCTCACCTGAATCTTTGGGGAAATTACCTCTTTATGGAAATTGCTAGATTTAAAAGAATCATAGATCCTAGGCCCTGGGGATTATTATTCTCTAATACATCCCACCTGCTGGCACCACTTTAAAGAATCATGTATTGGTATCTCAAAATAAATCTCTCTGCTGGACACCAATATGTTTCTGGCACAGAGAGTTTAGATCAGGGGTCCCCAAACTACGGGCATATTGAGTATTTGTGTAGAGTTTGGTCCAGATCCATCCTTGTTTGAGTCCACAGTGCTATCTGGATGTTGGTGAACTACAACTCCAAAACCAAAGGACACTACCCACCAAACCATTCCAGTATTTTCTGTTGGTCATGGGAGAACTTCCATCGTTGGTGGGGTTCAGAATGCTCTTTGATTGTAGGTGAACTATAAATCCCAGCAATTAAAACTCTCAAATGACAAAATCAATTTTTTTGAGTGAAGGACATACATTGGGTTGTTAGGTGTCTTGTGTCCAAATTTGGTGTCAATTCGTCTAGTGGTTTTTGAGTTCTGTGAATCCCACAAATGAACATTACATTTTTATTTATATAATTTTTTAAAATCCCAATTTAAATTATCAAACGCCTTTTCTGCATCGAGACTTAATAGGGCTAACTCTTCTTGGTTATTTCATTTGTAGAATTTGATTGTATTTATTATTATTATTATTATTATTATTATTATTATTATTATTATTATTATTATTATTGATCCATCATCTTGGCATCATGGGGACTTATGGCAGCCTTCTCTCAACCATTTCGCTCACTTGAATCTTTGGGGAAATTACCTCTTTATGGAAATTGCTAGGCTATCCAGGCAATTCGATGGCACGCTTCCCGCATAGAGTTGCATTGGAAGACCTACCAGATTCCTATCATAGAATCAGAGGTGGAAAAGACCCCAAGGGTCATCCAGTCCAACCCATAAAGACAAACAGATTCAAATCACCCCCCAACAGATTGTTATCCAGCCTCTTCCAATCCCTATTGGAAGACAGGGTGTTTCGTCATGTTTATTGTTTCAGCTCCATAGATACAGATATGGGGACCTCACTGTATAGATTTAACGCGTTTGCAGGAGGGGCGTTCTGTCCCATAACAAAACCATAGGAGAGTTTTTTGAAAACACATCCAATATTTTTCTCTTGTTCTTTCTAAGGTTCTCCTTCCATAACAGGGAGGGAAAATATATTGGAGATAATAAAGATATTGAAAAACACTGTTTGTACATTAATATTTTGGCCTTACCCTCTTCTTGTGTCACCTTTTCGCAGCGAGATGTTTTTGGGTCCAGTCTCACCTGGCTTCACCTTCCCGTTGGAACACGATGAGAACGGCTACGTGCTGTAGTGGAAGAGGGAAGCAAACCGTTTGAAAGTACTACAAATGTACATGTCGCAATTATTTTCATTCTCGTCGTTAATTAAAATTTAATCTTGTGTACCTGTGTGTCTGTTCTTGTCTGGACCAAGATTTCAGCGTCTTATTGAGTCGTTTTGATCCTGGGAACCACAAAATCCATGGAATGCTCAAGTCCCCAATATGTGCAATGGTAGGGCAAAATTTTGGAGCCTTCGGTGGCACAACGGGTTAAACCGCTGAGCTACTGAACTTGCTGACTGAAAGGTCGGCGGTTTGAATCTGGGAGCAGAGTGAGCTCCCACTGTTAGCTGGTCTTGACCTATAAAACCCTATACGGCTCTGGCCCACCGTACCTGTCCAAATGTATCTCCTTCTAATAATAATAATAATAATAATAATAAAACTTTATACCCCGCTACCATCTCCCCAAGGGACTCGGTGTGGCTTACATGAGGCCAAGCCTCTCAGGAAGTGATTGAAGGTACTGCAAGTCCCATCATCCATGGTCCACCCTCCTCCAAACTGCAGCAGGATGTAGAGTGGGTCATGGGGGCTCTGTGTGCCAAGTTTTGTCTTGATCGGTCATTGGATGAGGGTCGCAGTGGTTTCAGTGTGTAAAGGTACTGCAAATCCCATCATCCATGGTCCACCCTCCTTCAAACTGCAGCAGGATGTAGAGTGGGTCATGGGGGCTCTGTGTGCTAAGTTTGGTCTTGATCAGTCATTGGATGAGGGTGGCAGTGGTTTCAGTAAGTGAATGAAGGTACTGCAAGTCCCATCATCCAAAGTCCATCCTCCTTCAAACTGCAGCAGGATGTAGAGTGGGTCATTGGGGCTCTATGTGCTAAGTTTGGCCTTGATCAGTCATTGGATTAGGGTTGCAGTGGTTTCAGTAAGTGAGTGAAGGTACTGCAAGTCCCATCATCC